TATCAATTTTTTATGTTACAAACTTGTCTCTTACATTGTATAATGCATGTGCCAAGTTTGATCAAAATCAGTTGGATGGATCTTGAGTAAAAAGGTATTACACACACACACAGAGACATCCTCTGTTTATATATATATATATATATATATATATATATATATATATATATATATATATGAGGAGGGAGAGAGAGAGAGAGCTGAATGAAATGAGGAGGGAGAGAGAGAGAGAGATCAAGTTTAGAAAGTGTATATCATGACCCAACAGAAACAATACAGTGGAACAGGGTAGAATTGCAATAGAGATGCTGACAGCCTTAGATGATTCCAGCATTGACAAGATTACAGAAATAATAAATCAAATCTACAACAGTAATGATATACCCGAAGATCTAAGTAGATCTATTTTCATAGCACTACCTAAGGTGAAAACAAATATGAGCTCCATCAGATAATAACCCTAATGAACCATATAATAAAACGTATCATCTGAATTCTGATGAATAGAGCGCACAGCAGAATCAGATCAGATGTAGGACAAGAAGAATTCAGGGTCACCAAAGATACTGGAGCAAGGAATGTGATATTGATGCTCATAATGTTATTAGAAAGAGCAATACAAATGCAGAAGGATGTGTACCTGCATTTTATAGATTACACAAGTGCTTTGGAAAAATTACAACACAAAATCTGTTAGAACTGCTTAGCAACCTTGATATATTTGGAAAGAATATTAGAATAATCTAGAACCTCTATTGCCAGCAAACTGCCTGCAGAAGGATAGAAAATGAGTTCAGTAGATATACAAAAATAAAAAGGGTTTGAAAGACAAGGAAGTGTCTTCTCACCAGATTTATTCAACCTATACAGTGAGGGGATTCTGAGAGAACTAGATGGATCCATTATTGGTGGTCATAATCTTGGCAAAATAAGATATACAGATGACGCAGTGTTGATAGCAGACACAGAAAGAAAGCTACAAAATCTATAGAAGTTAGCGAAGAAAATTGAAAAGAAAGAAATAATAAACTGCAAGAGGATAGAATGTATGGTTGTCAGTAAAAGGATGAGCCTAAAGTGTTAATTGCAAATGTAAGATATAGAAATTTAAATATCTAGTAAGTGCTTTAACAGGGGACGGAAAGTGTGACACTGAAATCCATTGTCTTATTGGGATAACAAAAGATGCATTACAGAAGCTAAGCAGAATACTAAGAAATAGAAAAACTTTGCTAGAAACAAGGAAAATGAGTACTAAACTGTAATGTAATATCTGTCCAGTAAGTGCCAGACAATCTCCTCAAAGATAAAGAGGGGACTTGAAATAACAGAACTATGGTTCAACAGAACTATGCTAAGGATACCATGGACCGAGCATGTGAGTAATGAAGTTTCAGAGAAAATAGAAACAAAAAGGAAACTTATACACAGTTGAGATTTCTAGGGCACATATTGAGAAAAGAGGGTTTGGAAAATCTAATACTCACAGGACAGATTGAAAGCAAGAGGGATAGAGGAAAACAATGCATGACATTTAATGAGCTTGAGTGAATGGATTATGAACCAGGGTTTAGGAGAAATAGCAAAAAGACAAAATTTAATGGTTAATTAAAGTTAAAACGGACAGGAAGTTGTGGAGAGCCATGATTGCTTACATCTGAAGAGACATGGTCCTAAATTATTTACTCTTCATTATACAAAATTCCCATTCTATTGAAACACAAAAAAAAGTTTATTTAATATTTTATCCAATCATAGTGTCTATATCAAAACATTAAGATTAATTATATATTAAAAAAGGATCTCCTTTCATAATTGTTCTCAGCTGAACATCTGATTCTGTGAAGCAGATTGCTATCTAAAATTTGACAAGTAATGTAAAGGTTGCTTAAAATGACCAGTGGCCAAATTTTTAAAGATGGAAAATCTGATTGGGTCCATAATTTGATAGGATTTAGCCTGGGCTATTTTAGGCTTGCTCTTTGGATAGTTAACATATCTGATTGAATTTATGACTTATAGCCGTAGATGGGTATATACAGGGTTATTGAAAAGTAACTCCCCATTTTAAAATACTTATAATTTATTTCTTAAGTATAATTCTTACAAGAAATGGATATGAGAGAAAAACATAGCATAAGGTTTTATTTAAAATTCGATATGGGCACCAGATTTTGCTACCAGCTTCTCAAGCTACTCAGGAATCATATCAACTGATTTCACCAGGAACTCTTGAGGTATGAAAGACATAACTTCTTGTAATCATTCTTCAAGTCTTCCAAAGTTTTGGTTTGGTAGAGTAGACTTGCTCCATTAACCAACCCCAAAGAAAAAAACCACAGGGTGTTAAAGTCAGGACTCCTGGCTGACTACTTATACATAAAATAGGGAGTTACTTTTCAGTCCCCCTGTAGAATCAATATGCATGATAAATATCTTTTTAATTTCTTTTCAATCAAACTGTAGAATCAATATGTATGACAAATTAGGTTCCACCTAAGGGAGGTAATTTCTTAATTTCATTTAATGGGGGATTTTCTTTTGACTTGTTTTTTAATTATTTATGAAAAAGGGTAGGACATTTTAAAAACAAAAATGGTGGTATCTGTAAAATTAGAAGAAAGAAAAAAAAGGCTTAAATGAAAAAGATTAGGGAGAAAAGAAAATAATTAATAAAAGGAAGAATAAAAACTTGCAAAAAAGAAAAAGAAAAATGAAGGAAAGGAATGAAGTAAATAAAGTAGATGCAGGTTGTGTGACTTTTAATGGCATAAGGAATGAAATTGGCTAACCAAGTTCAAGATCAGGATGGGGCAGTTCGTATTCACTTTACACTCATTCTCTTGGGAAATTCATGAATCCACTTCTCCATTTGCAGCTCTTTAGTCCTGTAAGGTCATCTATCTTAGGTAATGAGTGAACGATCTGAATTGGTAAAAATTGACTTGCTAATAAAACTGCATTTTTATCTCAAAATTCTTGACAAATCCAACAAAAAATCTTCAATACATTAAGTACTGACATCTCTGTTTCAGTTACATTCTAACTACTATAATGTAGCTTCTTTGTGCCTTTTCTATAAATATTTTATAGTAAAAATTCTGATAAGCTTTCCTCTTTGGCATTTTTATTCCCCTCCACATCAAGACAAATTGTACATATTGGAACAAGCCAGGACTATATAGAAACTTTAAGGTATTATAGTGGCTATAGTAAGAATGGTAAGTAAGAATGTGTTGTTTTACTGTAAGGAATACTGTGGCATGTTTGGATCAGTAATTGTGGCTACCTAAGTTTAAGATAAGACAGACTGAAACCCAGAAATCCCCCTACTCCCCACTTTTGGCCTTGTGCCACATTTTTGTATTTTTCAAAATAAATATTGCTTTCCTCTTTGGTATCCTGACTTTATGAATTGAAGCAGACTACTAGAATGGCAGTTAGGTCTTATCATTTTACTGTTGATATTGATAGATTTAACCATAACTTCTATACTAACAGTTTCTTCTCTCATACTTCTGACCTCAGTAAGACTCTTCTGTTCTGGAATCTTGCTTTCTTGTTAACTACAATCTTCAGAAGTTGAAATGCAATGTCAGTTGTCATCTTCTATTTTCCTGATATCTGTGTTTTTATTGTCTTTTCTCTTTACTCCCAGTAACCACTTGCATCCTAGTGGCACTATCGCATTGCTTGGGAGGAAATGAATAAAAAGAAAAATGTTAATTAGATAAATGTTTACCTTTGCACTTGATGTCAGCCATTATATATTCATACTTGCAAGATAATTAGTACCTTTGCTATATCCACCACAAGAGTCATAACCATGTGCCCCATAAATCATTAGGATCATACAGGTACCTTAGCAGCATTAGTGTGTCATAAGCAAGATTGCATGACCAAGCCCAACTTTCTCCAGGTTGGTTTGAATTCAGAGTTTTCCTTCTCTTAGACTGTTTATCAACCAAGTCTAGAGGACACCTAGTCTGCTCTGTTATTTACCAATAGCTTTGGAGTATAAAAGATGGATTCATACCATTCCTAAGGGCATTTGCTTGTATGTGAATGTAATGACCTCAGCTGGAATTTGAACTCATTTCTCTGATTTCTCATTCCAATCTGTTATTACACCACCGTACATCCATCCAGGATACTGAACAGAACTAAAAATGAAATTCAAAGACAAAATTTATTCATAGTATGCAAAAAAAAAAAAAAAATCTCTAAAGCGATATTTTGCCTCCCACTTCCAATACTAAGAAAGTGATTAGCTTTTTATAGACAGACATTGGCCTGAAGTATGCGCCATATCTCCTTATATGGTACCCACTGGTAACTAGAATGAATGAAACAATAAGCTGATTACGTTTTGGATATCAACACCGTGTGTCTGTTATTAACAATAATTACAATAATTAATGAAAGCCATTTAAAGGCATTATCGTTATTGACCAGTCTTTGAATAAAATAAAGGAATTAATGAGCAATCAGTGCTGGTGTCTTTTTAGAACACAAATTAGAAAATTTCTCTTTTTGGGAGAACTCTTTTTGATTTTTGGCTTTTGGTTTATTTTAAGAACAAGTGGCTCTTTCAAGAGAAATCTGTGAAAATTCTTTTTAATCAGCGGATTTCAAAACCTCACTTCATCTGTTGAACTTCCAGAAAGAGAATAATAATTTTTGTTTATTCTCAGAGAAACAAAAACAGGAAATCAGTTTCAGTTTGAACTGCCTACTGCTTTTTTATTTTGAACCAGAAGTACCTTTTCTTAACACAAACACCTACATATTATTAGTACATTTTTATTAAGTTCTGCATAAAGTATAGTAAGTTTTGATATCTTGGAAACATAAAGAGAAAAAAAAGCAGTCCAGCTGCTATTAGTATTGGTCACATAAAAAAAAAAATGTATATGTAATGATTTACCTTTTTTACAATTTGTCAACACATTATTGTGGATTATTTAAAGCTGAAATATATTTTAGATTGTAGGAAGGTGCTTACAGTACCCGATGTTCCGAAGTGGTCCCTCATATAAGTACTGCCCAGGCCTGACACAGCTTAACTTTGGTGATCAAACAAGAATTGGTGTTTCTAGCATGATTTGGCCATAGCCTATAAATGTAATGAAAATAACAATAATACAAGAGAATTTTTTTTTTTTAATCAATTCACCCCAAGCAAGGCAATAATGTCATTATGATGGAAGGAGCTACTGGGAATGAAAAGACTTTAGAAAGAGCTTGAAACCCAATCCTAAATAGGAAACAAGGTATAAACATCTACTCCTGTTAAAAAAAAAAAGGGGAGGTGTGTGAACTGGATGATAGGGGAACCTATAGAATTCTTATTGCCGTTTATCCTAATTTCCTGGTAAGAAAAAGAGGAAGCACATGAGACAAAGAGAAAAGTTGAAATAATTCATCTTTATTCTAATATCCTACTCTATTATGCCTTACCTTGATTGATCTACTGGGATTTATAAATATAGTTTCATGGCTCATCAACTGCTATATGGGTAATGGTAGTCTAATTTAGATATGTGAAGAGTGGGGACTATAAATAGTCTCTCCTAAACAAGAACCAAAAAGATCTGCATATTCAGTTTGCTTGACTACTTATTTCAAGATTGGTCACTACAATTGTATGACTTTTCTTGATAGACTTTTATAATTTTTATTCTTCTAACAACATCGATCTTTAAAATTTTAAATGCAATGTCAATTGCTATCTTCTGTGTTCTTAACTCCTGTTCTTTTAATGTTCCTTCTCCTTAATATTTTCTTTTATTGATATTCTTTTATTGATATTCTTTCACACTCGGTAGACCCTTATGCCATATAATCCGAACATGTTAGAAACGACAAAGCTTTAGAGAAAATGGAAACAACAGAGAAACTTAACATCAGAAAAAGACAGTTAAAGTTTCAAGGGAACATAATGAGGAAAGAGGGCTTGGAAAATTTGATACTCACAAGACAGATTAAAGCCAAGGGGAATAGAGGAAAATAACACATAGCATTGAGTAAATGGATGGCAGAACAAGGTTTAGGAGAAATAACAATTTATTAAGAGATACAAACAGCAGGGTGTTGTAGAGAACCATGATCTCTTATATCCGGAGGGGACACGGCTTAAAGAAGAACCTCTGTGTTAATGGTTTTATTGCCTTGCTCAGAATAGAATAAGTAAAGTTGGTTCTCTGTGTCGCACCAGAAAGTTTTTCTTGCCTGAGTCCATCCTTCAAATCTATGAATCTCCCATTCACCCTTGCATGGAATACGGCTCCGATATATGATCTGGAGCCCCCACTGTTTGTCTCAGCTGTCCTCAACAAAATCCAGAGATGGATATGCAATGTGGTTGGTCCTGATCTGACATCCCATCTATAGTCACTATCTCACAGACGTGCTGTGGCTTCCCTCAGTCTTTTCTACAAATACTTTCATGGTAACTATTCTGACAAGCTACTTTCACTGGTTCCCAAACTACATGAATTTAAGTGTGTTATTAGGTTGGCATCCTGGTCCCACCCTTTCTCTGTCAAAGCAAATAAATGTAGCCATTTCTTCTACTCCAAAAGCTTCTTATCTCACACCTCCCATCAGTGGAACTCCCTTCCTATCACTTGCTTCCTTGATAGCTATAATCTTCAAATATTGAAATGTAATGTCAATTGACATCATCTGATACCTTGACCTTGATCCCTGCTCTTCTCTTCATCCTTTCCTCTTTCATGCATCTTTACTCTTGCTCCCACTCTCTGTAACCCCTTGTGTGCTAGTGGCACTCCTGCCTTGCTTGGGGTGAAATGCTTAAAAAAGAAGAAGTATATTCTAATAGATTGGACATTATACAATGAAAATTTCAGATCAAAATTCAGTTAATAACTGTGTTAGGCTGTGGACTTACTGATCCAGTCTTTTGCAGAGGAATATATACTCTTTTGATCTTTCTAATTACTATGTTGTCTTCAGTGCATACTTTTGGGGTTGGGGGGTGTCTATTCTTGTTTCTAAAAATGATCATTTGTAACTGGCATAATGATTTAGAATATGAAAATGATGATGATCATCATCATCATGATGGAAACTCGAAAAAACGTGCTAAGCAAGAATTAGAATTGAGACCAAGTTTGTAGGTGTCCTGAAAACTGCCATCATTTACTCTGCAAGGATTCCTTGAAATGTTCTCAAGTTGTGAGGAGTCTTGCTGACACCATGCCTCAAGAACAAAATTCCCATTGATTATGTCAATGTGTGACATCAAAATAATAAAAAAAGGATCCATTCATGGTTGATAGAACAGCTTTATTTGAAAAGTGTGATTTACTGGGAGTTCCTATTAGCTCAGTAAATAAAATGATAAATAAAACAGAAATAATAATAGTTTGATGACATATAAAAAATAATTCTGTAGAATTATGACAACTGCGGATGTGCGAGGTGTGTGATCAATGAATGTTAAGAAGAAATCAGAGAGCTTAGTTTGAATTACAGTTCATTACATACCTTTTTGAATCCATCTCTTAAATAGCAGATCAGACTGGGCTCTCTAGCTATGGTTAGCAACCAGTCTAGGAGAAAGAAAACTCTGAATTCATAACTGTACATGGCCCTGATACTTTAATCGTGATACCTTAAGCAAGCTTGCCATTAGTTTTCGACCAAAGTGCTTCATCAAAAACAATTCATTGCACAAAGATCCATGTAATTGATCATGCAACACTGTTTTTTTTTCTTCTCTTTTTAAGAATTTTGAATTATTGCCTATTCTTCTTTGATGTAAGGTGTCTCTTCAGGACAATAGTGAAAATGCTCCCCACAATTTCCTTTGTAAATCTTAATAAATTTTCTTTTTTTCGTTATCTTAATAAATTTTGTCTTTTTGTTACCGTAATTCCTCCATGTATAATACGCATTTTTTTCTAAATAATAATAAGCAAAATTAGTGGTGTGCATTATGCACAGCTACAAAAAATCTTTAAAAACCAGGTCAATTTCAGTTGTGAAAAACTACTCGCCACAAACATACAACAATTTGACACTAACATTTGGCAATTGTGGCCCCATAAGGATGTCAAATACAATCATATGTACCTAACAATATTTACAAATGTAAAATAAAATAAGAATTATCATAAAACAAAAATTATAATATTATTATTCTATGTTTAAAACCATTTTTTAAATAAGAGTAATAAACACTGGCCATAATGAAATTGGAGAGGTACAATTTATAGGGTTTGATTACCAAACAAGGGGTGCATATTATGTGTGAGTAGAAGCATTTTTCCACACTTTCAGCACAATTTTATGGATGAAGATGTATTATACATGGGGAATTAGAGTATTTCTCCTAAACCCTGTTCTACCATTCATTAAGACAAGCACACTAAGTAAGTTATATATTGTGTTCCTTTATCCCTCTTTTTTTCAATATGTCTTGTGAGTATCAGATTTCCCAAGATCATTTTTCTCATTATGTGCTCTAGAAATTTAAACTATCTCTTTCTGATTCTATAAGTGTCCTTTTTCTTTCCATTTTCTTTAAAACTCTGTGCTGGTCTTTCTGCTGCACATTCTAATCATCAGAATTTAGATGATAATTTTTATTATATGGCTCATTAGGCTGATCATCCAATGGAGTTCACATTTGTTTGTGCCTGGTTTATTCAGCAGTGCTATAAAAATGGATCAACTTAGGTTTTCCAGTATATCACCACTGTTATATATTTCATTCATAATGTCTGTCATGTTGTTAATGCCGAAATAATATAAGGCTGCCAGTATCTATTACAATTACATCTCATCCTGCTGCTTTGTTTCAATTTGATCAATGCTGATTTTACTTCAGATTTTAATATTTCTATCCTTTTGATATTTCTGTATTTTGTTGCTTATCCTCTTTTATTGTGGAAGGGTTCTCTACTGCATTCATTCCTTGTTTTCTTTCTCTAATATCAGTGTCCTGTCCTTGGATTATATGCATCCTGTTTATGAGCATGTCTTTTGTCCTGTTTTTATGCATATCTGCTTCATCTGTAATGCTTTCTATTTATGTACACTTTCTGTTGAGCCATTCCTCTTTGCCTTTCCTAATTTATTTGAGTAGAGTCCTATGTTCTGTGCCATACCTTGGCCTTGTTACCTGGCACATGTTACAGGGTATACCCCAGACTAGGCTCTGCTGAAGGGCAGAGTCTTGTGTTAGGAAATTGACTCCATTTTTACGTGGTCTATAGGGAATTTTTGCCCAAGCCTACAGGCTCGGATACCCCACTTTAAAACTTGGCCTTGTGCCACATCTTGCTGCGTGAGGCAGTGGGTAAATAATCATACCTTGGCCTTTTTTTTTTTTATCTCTTTTTCATCATATTGAGAATTTCATTTGGTATCCATTCTTTTTTTTCCTTGTTTAGTTTTTTTTTTTTTTGTTTAGTTTTTTTTTTTTTTGGGGGGAATGATCTTGTTTACTAAAGCTTCTCTTAATGTACCCCATTTTGAATTTTCATTCTCCTTTAGTTCCTTGTATCTCTTTATAGTGCTGTCCATTTATTTCTCCTTCACATATGGGTCATTTTGGGTGCAGCCTTAGTCCTCTTCAATTTTCCTAGTTTCATTCTAAGTTTAAATATCACTGGAAGGTGATCACTATTGTATTTTTGCATTTTAACTTAAAATATTAATATAAATCTTTGACTGATGAAGGGTATAGAAGTCCTGAAACATGTACCAACTTTCAATAAAAAAGAATATAATATAGGTTATACAATTTTTATCTACAATACTATCACGTCAACTAGATGGCTTGGTAATTTTTTACTTTCAAAATAAATATATTCTTTAATATGCATAAAATTTGGGGAAAATTACATATGAATTAGAGTTTTTGAACAAGCCAATGAAAAATACATTTATTATGAGACTCTAAAATGGAGAACATCCTGACTAGATGGCTCAGTAATTTTTACTTTCAAAATAAATATATTCTTTAATTATATTCTTTAAAATGCATAAAATTTGGGGAAAATTACATATGATAATGAAAGTTTTAAATTTTGTTAAGTGTAAAGTTTTAATTTTTATCATATTTAAGGGTAATTTTTTTGTC